TATTATTTCCTTAAGCAATAAGCATGAGGGATATCCTTCACCTAACCCCAAAACGTGAAAAGAAAGCAAATTTCATATGGAAAAATTTAGGCTATCAAAATAAGGTATGTTCATTTAATTATTTATATAGATTTTTTTGTCTTTTGTAATATACATTTTCATCTTTTGCTGATTCGTCTTCTACGGTTTAGATTTTGGAATATAAATTCAATTTTGATGACGTGATCATGAAGGCAAGCTTCGACGATATCAAACCCAACCCATAGATTGTGACAATTCTATAGGTAGATTAATTAGTCTTTTTTTTTTCTTTAATATAGAAAAGAAAAGAGGACTATTACATGTATCCCGTGAAAAGAAATGGAAGACTCCTGAGAACCTCGAGTCCTCGTGAGAAAGCCAAATAAAAAAAAAAGGAAAAATATCAACAATGAATTTAACATTTGTTTGGACAGGGTTTATCATTTTCTTTGGTGGGATCTACATTTAAAATGTTAGGCACCAAGCTTGTGATTTTTTTGGGGGTGTTCCAAGCGCTCAAACTGAAGTTGTGGTTCGTCCACTAAGGAGGACATTGAAACTCCGGCGAAGGCATTCAGTGGTTGGTCCTGACCTCGAGATAAATTGAAGTTTGGGGATATATCTCTAACCACGTGTTGTGTATAGCCGATCTTGTGTGGTTTTCACTTGGTGATCTTTGTCGTAAAGTGGCGACTTGGAAAATACATGACATAATGGCCCCAATATACGATCATATCTCATTCTACATTCTTGGTAGGAAGGTGATAAGTGTGGTTGTCGGAGATGACTCAAATGAGTATTTATCAGTCCGGTTAGATGCTAGAAATACGTGACATAATAAATCCTATCTACAATACTTACTAGTTGGTACGTCCATGATACGTCCACATAATTTTTTCGGGCCAGGAAGTAGAGCAAATTAAATTAGTCCACATAAATACGTGATTATTTGACTCTGTTTTAGTTGATTTGGGTAACAGTAAATCCTAGTCTTGATCGAATATTTCTATCTAGGTTGGTTAGATTTTTGGGATCAGTCTCTAATATTTGACACAATCTATTTGAGTTATACCGATGTTGCGAAATTGCATGAAAAAAAACGAAGGGTTACGTTAAATTT